GTGGGCTCCGTGTGGGATTCATGGGATTTATATGGGACGGATTTTCCCATGTGGTATCCGTATGGAAATTTACCACTTAAAACCCATATGGGTAAATCCCACATAGGTTACATCTGGTATTTACCCACATGGGATTATCCGTATGGAATTTTTCCACTTCAAACCCATATGGGTAATCCCACAAAGGTTACATGTGGGTGTCATATGGTATTTATCCACATGGGAAATCACACGTGGGTTTCTTGTGGGATTTACATGCAATTTTATTTAAAGGCTGGAATCTAAATTAATCTTAAAAAAATTAAATATTACATTACTTTCGAAAGTAATGTCATGTTGTTTTATTTTTTTAAGATTATTTTAGATTCCACCGCGATTGCAATAAAGTTACATGCATCTTGTTTTAGCATAAAAATATCTTAAATTAATCTTAAAAAATGGCAAGCAAGTACTACAAATAATTGTAAGTACTACAAATAATTTTTATCTCTCTTTATCGAATTAAGATTTTTTGTGCAAATAAAAGTATTATTATGATGGTATAATAGTTGTTTTAATATCAGTATATATAGTAAAAAAAATGAGTTTAAAACTCACATAATTTCCCATTTTCTTTAATGAAAATGAAGAGAAAAAAAGAAAGGCAAGGGATTCGGTAAGTTTTTAGGCTTAAAAACTCTTAGTTTAAGATTTCATAAAGGACATTTGACCTACATTGAAAAACCTAAACAGGAGAAACATTTCAATTTTCAACCTGAATACCAAAGAGTTATTGGCAATAAAGAGTCCTAGGTTTTTAAAGTAAAATGAAATAAAGTATATATATATATATATATATATATATATATATATATATATATATATATATATATATATATATATATATATATATATATATATATATATATATATATATATATATATATATATATATATATATATATATATATTTATGTATATATATATATATATATATATATATATATAATTATATATATATATATATATATATATATATATATATATATATATATTTTAATTTTGTAGAATTTTGTTATAATAGTTTATGGTAAATCCCACATTATTTGTGGAGAGGATCGCATATATTTGATCCTAAATAGCATAAAGTAGCTAATACCATATAAATTTAAGCCTCTCTGAAAGCTTCCATGATAAATTTCGATGTTTTATTTATATCGTATTTGCTACTTTTATAGCATTTGAATTAGATTATGTGGCATTTAAGATCTATAAAACATGTATTATTTTCAACATATAGCCCGTGTGGGATTTACCATGTATAACCCAGATACGCTGACTGTCAGGTCAAGTTATCCTGCTACTGGTAACATGTAATCTAGTACAACTTGCTGCATGTTAATGTCAGGAAGGGCATCCGGTTGTAAAACATTGCTTTAACTCTTTCATAACGGCATTTATATGTCGCTAAGGAGAACAATTGAAACCACACAAGTGTGGAGTCATGAATCTTAAAGTTACAAAAAGTAACAAAACACATAGGACAAAATAATAATCCTCACATGGGTTACATATGCAAAAAACCCACGCGTATCACATGTGAGAATTACCATATGAAACCCATTTGGGATTTACCATATGGAACCCACATGAGACAAAATAATAATCCTTACATGGTTTATTATTTTATTTAAAAACGTTAAAGCACTTAACGTTTACGAACTCAATGTCTATAATATTTTATGTTTTATGTTTCGTTGTAAAAGTGACCGACCATTGTCCAATTTCAAAGATCTTTTTACTTATAAAGCTATAAACAAATATGCTTTACGAAATAATAATTTATTAATTGAACCCTTTTGTCAAACAAAGTTTAATCAATTTTGCATAAACTATAGAGCACCGTATTTATGGAACAAAATTGTTGTTCCAAATTTTGATTTGTCAATTTCGTTTTCCGTTTTTAAAACTAAATTAAAAAACTATTTTCTTTCTACTGGCAATATATATAAATATTTTTGAAATGTAAAATTCTTTTTTTTTACTCTGGATAATTTGTAAAATTATTTTCAGTTTTTGTTTCTTCTACATTGTTATTAGTTATTTGATCAATTGTATTTTATTTTATTATATATACACGTATTATATCTTTTATATGGTTCTGGCGACAAGATCATTTGGATCTTCTTTCAGATACCAAGTTTATATATTGTTATATTGTTATATTACGATTAATAATTGTAAACTAAAAAAAAAAAAAAAAAAGTTTACATATGGAAAAAACCTACGCGTATCTCAGGTGCGCTTTTTCACTGGGAATATGCATCAAAATGTAAAAAAAGCCATATCCACACACCACAAAAATGTGGTCAAAATAAAACTGGTCAAAGAAAATAACTCAAACAAGTTTTTTAGTTACCTAAATAAAAATCTAAACAACCCCAAAAATATATATCCTATAAAAACCAACAGCAACTTTTCAACTAGAATGTTGAAATCGTGTTGAAAAAGTGTTTAACAAACACTTTGGAAGTTTTTTTACATTTTTAACGGAAATTTGACAAGAATAAATATTTTGTTAGTGAACATATTATGATGGATTTCGTAGAATTTTCAGCAAAGATAGTTCATCAAAAACTAAAGAATTTAAAACCCAGCACATCATTTGGACCTGAAGGTATAGCAAATACACTTTTAAAACAGTTAGCACATATAATATGTATTCCGCTTTTACATATACATATAATCCATATTTTACGTCAAGCTCGTTAGTAAAACAGTGGTTTAAAGCTTCGGGTTTTTCCTATTTTTAAAAAAGGATCTACTTTAGTAAACTATTATAGACATATATCCCTCACCTTAACTAGCTGTCAAGTCATAGAAAGTATTTTTAGTTCAGGTATTGTTGATTATCTTAATATAAACAATCAAATAACACCTTTTCAACACGGCTTTTTATCCATAAGATCTACGTGCATAACTCTTCTGGAGTCAACTAATGACTGGAATAAAGCTTTAGACAGCAATTTAATTACTGACGCGGTGTACATTTATTTTCAAAAAGCATTTGACTCTGTACCTCATCCAAAATTATTAAAAAATCTTGCAATTTATGGCATAATAGATAACCTGCTTCATGGGATGTCATTATTTCTTTCCAACAGATTTTAAAGAGTTTTTGTTGGAAATTTCCAATCCGACCAGCATCATTAGTGGAATTCCACAGGGTATTGTTTTGGGTCTAACGATATTCTTGTTATATATTAATGATCTACCCTTTATAGTAAAGGATTTTATTTTCTCTCTAAGGCTATATGCTGACAATATCAAGCTTTATAGTTCATTTAAGGATGCCAATTACAGTCACGATCTTGCTGTTGCCATTTATAAAGTTTATCTCTGGTCAAAAAAATGGCAGTTCAAAGTAGCTAATAATAAGTGCTTTACTCATAGAATAGCACCTACTTCATTTTTTAAAAATATAAATTACAACTATCAATTAGGAAATCATAATTTAACCTGGGCTACAAACCCAAAAGATCTTGGTGTGACCATAGATTTTTACTTAAATTAAAATAATCATACTTCAAATATCGTCCGCGCATCAAACATTCGAGGATATCTAATCCTTATGTGTTTTAAAAGTCGTGATTGTAAAGGGCTACACCTACTATATAAGACCGATCTTAGAGTATTGCTCTCCGGTTTGGTCGCCAAACCGCATTGAAATGAAAAAAAACAGTTAAAGGAGTACAAAGACGTTTTACCAAGAGAATTGCTAATTTAAATAACTTTTCATATTTAAATAGACTGAGAATTCTAGGTTTGGAACTAGAAATTTGTCGCCTAAGCAAAGCATACCACATGTTACAAAATTCTGAACAATTTAGTTTGCCTAAATAAATTTAGTTTCTTTTTAATTAACAACTATATATACACTCGAGGACATAATTTCAAATAACGCAAACTAAAATGTAAACTTGATTTCCGTAAATACTCTTTCTTACTCAGGGTTCTTTATATTTGGAATAACTTACCGTCTAACGTCGTGAACGCCAAAAAGAGCTATAAAATTAAAATTAATTCTATTGACTTTGAAAAAAACTGTTCCGGCTAACTAGTTTTTATTTTATAACTGTGGTCTTATATAAAATTATAATATATATATTTTGTAAATTATCTCCATATGTATTATATTATTGTTGGGCACGTTGTCAGAGTCCTTCATATTTTATGGACCTGCGTGTTCTTTAGAACATTTATCATTGTTCTAATAAATTTTAATCTAAACTAATCCAATCTACATTTAAACATTTAAGTGAAACTTGTCAACTTGTAAACATAGTTAAGAACGAACTAATTTCGTATACATACCTATTGCTTGCCGAAATGAAAAATTATTTTTATGAGTCATTTTAAACATCTACTCTATTTTCAAACAGTGATAATATGATGAAAGTAGCATCAGTAAAATAAATTATTCTCTGCTTAGTACATTAATTTTTCAATTGGAATGGAAAGATTTTCAACTTGCATTTGCATATCGACCTATAATAAGTTGTTTTGATTGGCAGAGTGATGATATTTTAAAACGAAATGATCTCGTTATCAAGAGCTTTTTAGCCTAAAGTTGATGGTTAGCCCACATGGGCTAACCATCAAAGTTCTATATTGTTAAAAATGATAAAAATAACACAGGCTTTTATTGTGTCTTATATCGGTGAAATTTGAATGGGTCAAATATCGGCATCAAAAACTATGTAAAGCAAAATTTTAAAAATACCGGAGTTTGTCAGATCAAGTACAAGATAACAGTATATGCTAACCCTTATTGGACCAATTGATATACCGTGGACAATTTTTATGGGTATCAGATTGGTTTCTTATTAAGGGAAAATATAACAGCGCACATAAAACACATTTACTATTATTAACTGAGTTGTTTGCTAAGGCAACAATATCTTTCGCTATAAATGTTTAACAAAATATAGCATAAACAAATGGAAAAAAAAAATACTTACGGAAATCAGCCTGGGAATAAACATGTCTATCGTATAAAGTTATCTATAATCAAACAATAAAAAAATTAAAAAAATGACAATAACAAGAAAAAAAACATATTGGAAATTAGCAATGAAATATATCTTGGCTATCTACCCAGTAAGCACATCATGTCAATCTGACGTCAGATATAAAATAGGTTTTCATCAATGACGTCAATAGACTTATTCCGATGTCTTTTCAATATCGGTAAACAACGTTGGGGCAACATCATTTCTTGAGCTTTCCCGAAAACGTCTTGACGTTTCCGGGAAATCTTTAGTCAATTAAAAGACATAAGACCATACATTATAAGATCGAATTTGTGTGTTTAAGTGCGCTCTTCGATAATAAATATGTTTCTTAATAAAGGCAGCTAGTTAGAATAATGGTTGACATCTTGAGGTTTCGTTTAACGGATCATAAACTATCAAAGTTTTAGAATAGTCATATTTTACTAATGAATGTAATATTAAAACAAAATTAATTCTTATCAAAGCATTTTTTCCCAAATATCTATAAGTATATATTACTAAATATACCCTACTTATATATATATATATATATATATATATATATATATATATATATATATATATATATATATATATATATATATATATATATATATATATATATATATATGTATATGTATATATATATATATATATATATATATATATATATATATATATATATATATATATATATATATGTATATTTATATATATATATATATATATATATACATTATATTTGCATCTTGTGTTGTCTTGCGTTATCTTGAATTTTATAATGTTATGCAAAATAACTATAAATCATTATTTTTACCTCAATTTCTCAAAACATTTTCCAATTTAAATGGACAAATAACCAGCTATAAATCATTATTTTTACTTTAATTTCTCAAAACAATTTCTCAAAACATACTATGCTCCACAGTTAGTCTAGACCGTTTTAGAACTAGATAGTTTTTCACTAAACACAGAAGAAGGTAAAGCTCCTAAAGACTTCATTGTTAAGAAAGAGAGGTCTAAAATGTTATATGTTTGAAAACAATCATATTTTACCTATCGTTAAAAAAAGAAAAGAGAAATGATTTAAATTTAGGGCCAATGCATCGGATTTGTCCTGTACTCATTCATCGTTATTAATATTTATTGTCATCGTTGTTGTTATTATTATTGTTATTTTTATTATAACTATTGTTTCTATAGTTATTATTATTATTATTGTGGCGGGTAGCTCAGATGGCTAGAGCGTCAAAAGAAAAGTTAAAAGAAATAATGGTCAATAACGGACGCTACTTTGCATTATTCTTAATGACTATTTGTGGCTATTCCTATGCTAAGTCAACAATATCTTCGGGTATAAGAACATTGTATAGAAAAAAATCGTATAGAAAAAAAAAAAATTATTATTATTATTATTATTAAAAAAAATTTTATTATTATTATTATTAGTAGTAGTAAGTAGTAGTAAGTAGTAGTAGTAGTAATAGTAGTAGTAGTAGTAGTGGTAGTAGTAGTAGTAGTAGTAGTAGTAGTAGTAGTAGTAGTAGTAGTAGTAGTTGTAGTAGTAGTAGTAGTAGTAGTAGTAGTAGTAGTAGTAGTAGTAGTAGTAGTAGTAGTAGTAGTAGTAGTAGTAGTAGTAGTAGTAGTAGTAGTAGTAGTAGTAGTAGTAGTAGTAGTAGTAGTAGTAGTAGTAGTAGTAGTAGTAGTAGTAGTAGTAGTAGTAGTTGTAGTAGTAGTAGTAGTTGTAGTAGTAGTAGTAGTAGTAGTATTTTATTATTATTATTATTATTATTTGGTGTCATTCCTTTGATCAGGTTTCTGCACCATTCTTGTCAAATAAATAATTATATTTACTCCTTATAAGTATATTTTGTTATGATTAAATTATTTGCATTATTATCAATACTAATATTGTTATTATTATATGATTGTAAACTTAAAAAAAGGATAATAAGTATCTTGTTTTTTTTGTTGTAGTTGTTAGTTTTGTTATTTTATAGAAATGTATATATATAATATAAATATTTTCTTAGACTTCTATGAACACATATTCATTACGCTACCATATATATATATATATATATATATATATATATATATATATATATATATAACAATGGTCAACTATATATATATATATATATATATATATATATATATATATATATATATATTTATATATATATATATATATATATATATATATATATATAATATATATATATATATATATATATATATATATATATATATATATATATATATATATATATATATATATATATATATATATATATATATATATATATATATATATATATATATATATATATATATATATATATATATATATATATATATATATATATATATATATATATATATATCATTTGGTTCCACAATAAAGAGGCCTTTAGTATAGATTGGTATTTTTTATATGTTTTCTACAATATAAAAATAAACAAATTTAAAAAAAGTGAAAAAAAAATAGCAGAAAGATCCTTAAACTGAACATTAAGTTTAAATGTATTCAGATAAAAATGTTGAAGCAATCAACAATTAATTGTATATATGTGTCAGTTTTAGATGAGCTGTGATAACATTAACTTAATTTAAAAATATTTGTAAAAATATTTGATTTGTGATTTGCTTTGTTTTCCTTAAAAGTGATATAACTGTGTTATTAGATTTTGATTCTAAAATAACCTTTCAGGTGTATAAGTTAAAGTCTGTGATTTTTCCTAACGCTTTTTTGTATTAGTTGTTTTTTTAAATTGGGAATTGGGGTAATGTCGCATTGATTCAGGTGAAAAAATAAATGATGTTGATTTTAAGTTCGCACAAGCAGTTTCTATTGATGCTATTTCCAATAGAATTAATAGCTGCAATCATTTTTACATCATTTCCTCATCATTGGTGCAGGTTGATGTCAATGCATCGGCACCAGCCCTTAGACTTAAATTAGTAGTCTTTTTTTTATTACAATTGGATAAATTAGGATTATTTTCAACTATATTACAATTTTAGCCCACTCGTTATTAACAAGGAAATATTTAGCAGTAAAGCATTCTTTTTTTTTAGTAAAAAATTATGTAGTTTTGGAAGAAATATCTACGAATCAAATCGATCTAAACTAACTGTGGAGCATAGTGAACGACTAGCTTTTATCAATGCAAATTTTAAAATGTTTGGAAAAATGGAAATAAAATTAATGATTTAAAGCTGGTATTATACAAGATATTTTAATAATTTCCATAACATTATAAAAATGCATGTTTATTTCTAAGATAACGCAAGTTGTTATGTTACAAGGCCCAAAAGAGGTTTTTTGATCTGGGGTAGCTATCAAAATTAGGGGCGCAAGCAACTTATATCTTAACAACAAACTTTTTCATAATTCTTTAGTAATGTAGATATATTATATGCTACATGCTACATTGATAAAATGCTATATCGTATGTTTATAGCAATGTAGCATGTTTTATACGCCTCACTAAACACAAAAACATTAGATCCAACACCAAAGTGAATTTATGGAACAGTTTCATAAACTTAATTTAATTTTAGGTGTAATTTTTTGAGACAATTAAGATCAAATATCTGCCGACTTTTTTTTTAGGTAGTTGCACTCGAAAATAAATCTTGTCACTTTCTCAAACGTTTAGTTATAACGAGATTATATTTAACTCTGAAAAAAGGTAAGAATTGCTCGAATTCGAAAGCTTGAATTCGAGCAATTCGAATTAGAGAATTTTGAAAGCTTGAAAATCTCGCAAAATTCCGAGTAGCACGAATTAAATTCTTTTTAGTCTTTATCTGTATTGCAATCGACGCGTAGAGCAACACATTGTATGACAAGAAATTAATATACGTGATTAATATCAGCAGGCTTGACTCTTTCACTAATGAATTTCTAGAAAATTGCCTAAAACCAAAGATTTTAGAGCCGCGAATACAGCTATAATATTAAAAAAAATTAAAAATGCATTTTTTTTATTTAATTAAATGTGATAAAATCTATAGTTTTTAATAATCTGCAGATTGTCAGAGTTAGTAAACAGAAGATAAAAATTAAAGACAGAGCTAGAAAAGCGAAAAAGTGCCTAGAAAGAATTTTGAGTGTTATTTGCTTTTGACCCTTGCAAAATATTTTCCGCACCAAGCAATTTTTGTTTTAAAGAAGTATCACTGAAGTAAATCATAAAAAACATTGTTCGTAATGTTTTTTTAAATATTTTCAATTTTTTTATAAACAAACTATTTGGAGCTTACATAAACCAAAAGGAGGTTTATGTTTATACCTCTTTGAGTCTCAACTTGTCTACGGCAATGTGTTATTTTTAAATTAAGGTACTTTTTATATTTTATTTTATAAATATTACAATATTTATATTTTTACGATTGGTTAACTTTTATTAAAATTCGCATATTTTAAATTTCCCTCTTTGTAGAGTTTAGATCCATAATATCATAAAGTTGCTGTTCTAAATAATGATAAGACACTATAGGTGTTGCAGATACACCTATACAACCACTTATAAATTGAATTTTTATTTATGGCAAAATCATAGTTTTTAGGTGTGCTTTTTTTTATTTAAATTTTTACGATTTTCTTTTGATTATAGATTAGTAACTAATTTAAAAATTTTTTTTTTTCTTTATTACAATATTTAATACAATATTTGCAAATATATCAATGAGAAAAATTACATGCAAAGAAACCGTTAAAAAATAAAGAATAAAGATAAAGAACGCGGTTGGGGTGTAGTGATAAGGCAAATACTGTCTTCTTCTAGCCCCGGTCATGTAGATTTTATTTATATAACACGGCATTGCATTCTTTTTTTTAATGACAAATAAATGATAAATACTTTATATGTTCGCATACAATATTAAAATAACCCCCTAACCCTGACAAACTGATGCTCTCAAAACAATGGCATTAGCCGAAGGAAACCTAGGCCAATGCCAATTCCATTGCATCGGTTCACCCAAAATAATTCCTGTTTCATCGCAG